GTATTTTTTTCTCCGATATCCAGGAGATATTTCCCTTTGTATAAGTGGCTGTGCTACTCCATCGGTACTTTCATTCTCTCACAGTTTGAATTAGCAGAAATGCATATATGTTTCTATACACAGAACTGCATTTACATTTTCAGTGAATAAACAGATTTAAATGCATATATCTCTGCATATTCAGAAAATAAATATTATATTCACTCACAGTTTGAATTAGCAGAAATGCATATATGTTTCTATACACAGAACTGCATTTACATTTTCTGTGAATAAACAGATTTAAATGCATATATCTCTGCATATTCAGAAAATAAATATTATATTTTGATAATGGTGATACGCTGTATGGTGAAATTTCACAGTTCTCTGAATCTTTCATTCCTCTATAATTTTGCTTCTTATTTTCTATTTCATTCTGCTGTATTATTTCCCTAGTTCCTCTCTTAGGTGACATTAAAGTTGACAATAGGTGGCTAAACTTACCAATAGCTAAATATGTACACACTGACAAGCATGGTCCCACTTTATTATTTCCTTGTTTAGATTGACCACCCTCAGCAACAAAGTAAGGGCAGCTATCATTCAGTTGTTTCCACGCAGAAGAAGTGTGCTGTCATTGCCTGCTTCCGACAAACAGTAGTACGACCAATACGACAGTAGTTTTCACTACCGTTGTCGGTGGCTATGGTGGCTGATGGTGGCTATGGCCATTTCGCAGCAATATAATGAAATAATGAATGAGGAAAGCGATCACTCTTTGACCTACAATGGCGACCGTAATCATTTACCGACACATCGAACAGCTGTATGTAGGGGTATCTACTGGATCTAGGGTATTGGTAGCAATAGTTACGCAGTGATGTGTTAATGATATTTGAACATAAGTATCACCAGTCCAAGTCTTTTGTAAAACAATATAAATCCATCAAGATGAAAGTGATGGTATGACAAGAAGCTGTGGTCCCGAGGAATCTGGAAGTGTCTACGAAGAGAATTTCGAAATATTATGTAAAGTGTAGGTTAGGGTTGGCATACAATTATGTTTCCTTGTGACAACAGTGATCTTAGTTTAGCAAAAAAGCAGCATATAAAATATTTTCAACGTTTTTTAAATATCCTTCCTGCACGTTTAATCTCTTACGATTCGACAAGATTAACGATGGCCTTCTTTGCAATTTCTGGACTTGATATTTTAAATGCTTTGGATGTACTAGATGACAAGAAGAAAGAACATATTATTGATTGGATATATAGGCTTCAAGTTGTTCCTGATGGCTCACGTAAGGAGAATTGGTATATGGTAGAGAAGTATTGCTATTTAAATATGTATGCTCATCTGCTCTAATGCAGCAAAGCTTTAGGGAACATGGTTACTTGTAAACCACGTTGTTCTCTAAATCGATGTTGATGGGATCAATTTTTACCATAAGAAAGGTGATAAATAAGTAACTTACGTCTTTAAAGCGTTTATTTACTCCCATAACGTGCGTTACAATATAGATCATGAAGAAAGCAGTCGTCTGGGATTTGGCACCGTGCATATGTGGTGTTAACCGACGTTTCGGAGGAACGTATCGCCTCCACAACTCAGATGGAGGCGATACGTTCCTCCGAAACGTCGGTTAACACCACATATGCACGGTGCCAAATCCCAGACGACTGCTTTCTTCATGATCTATATTGTAACGCACGTTATGGGAGTAAATAAACGCTTTAAAGACGTAAGTTACTTATTTATCACCTTTCTTATGGTAAAAATTGATCCCATCAACATCGATTTAGAGAACAACGTGGTTTACAAGTAACCATGTTCCCTAAAGCTTTGCTGCATTAGAGCAGATGAGCATACATATTTAAATAGCAATACTTCTCTACCATATACCAATTCTCCTTACGTGAGCCATCAGGAACAACTTGAAGCCTATATATCCAATCAATAATATGTTCTTTCTTCTTGTCATCTAGTACATCCAAAGCATTTAAAATATCAAGTCCAGAAATTGCAAAGAAGGCCATCGTTAATCTTGTCGAATCGTAAGAGATTAAACGTGCAGGAAGGATATTTAAAAAACGTTGAAAATATTTTATATGCTGCTTTTTTGCTAAACTAAGATCACTGTTGTCACAAGGAAACATAATTGTATGCCAACCCTAACCTACACTTTACATAATATTTCGAAATTCTCTTCGTAGACACTTCCAGATTCCTCGGGACCACAGCTTCTTGTCATACCATCACTTTCATCTTGATGGATTTATATTGTTTTACAAAAGACTTGGACTGGTGATACTTATGTTCAAATATCATTAACACATCACTGCGTAACTATTGCTACCAATACCCTAGATCCAGTAGATACCCCTACATACAGCTGTTCGATGTGTCGGTAAATGATTACGGTCGCCATTGTAGGTCAAAGAGTGATCGCTTTCCTCATTCATTATTTCATTATATTGCTGCGAAATGGCCATAGCCACCATCAGCCACCATAGCCACCGACAACGGTAGTGAAAACTACTGTCGTATTGGTCGTACTACTGTTTGTCGGAAGCAGGCAATGACAGCACACTTCTTCTGCGTGGAAACAACTGAATGATAGCTGCCCTTACTTTGTTGCTGAGGGTGGTCAATCTAAACAAGGAAATAATAAAGTGGGACCATGCTTGTCAGTGTGTACATATTTAGCTATTGGTAAGTTTAGCCACCTATTGTCAACTTTAATGTCACCTAAGAGAGGAACTAGGGAAATAATACAGCAGAATGAAATAGAAAATAAGAAGCAAAATTATAGAGGAATGAAAGATTCAGAGAACTGTGAAATTTCACCATACAGCGTATCACCATTATCAAAATATAATATTTATTTTCTGAATATGCAGAGATATATGCATTTAAATCTGTTTATTCACAGAAAATGTAAATGCAGTTCTGTGTATAGAAACATATATGCATTTCTGCTAATTCAAACTGTGAGTGAATATAATATTTATTTTCTGAATATGCAGAGATATATGCATTTAAATCTGTTTATTCACAGAAAATGTAAATGCAGTTCTGTGTATAGAAACATATATGCATTTCTGCTAATTCAAACTGTGAGAGAATGAAAGTACCGATGGAGTAGCACAGCCACTTATACAAAGGGAAATATCTCCTGGATATCGGAGAAAAAAATACAAGTTCTGCATTCCGGTTTAGAAAAGTTGTGAAATTAAGGTATGAGTTTAACATTGTGATCATAGTAGGCAAGCTCAGACACATCTCAGTGTCATCTGGGTTTCATTGCCTTCAATATTAAAGGTTTAAATATGCATTTTTAAGTGTCAGCATGTAGCAGCAAGTTTAGCTGCACTGTAATAATTCGGTTTACTATTATAGAAATACATATCAGCTCATAACAAGCAAATGGTCTTTTGTTTTCATATATTATTCATAATCTATAAGTGCTAATAATATTTGGATATGTGAATTGTGGCCATGTTAGGTGGGTCCCTGTCATCACGGCATGGCTTGTCCTCAGGTTGCGGATGGAGGAGACAAACTCCAATTTTGGAGGGAAGCTGTGAATATATTGAATAAGCAATCACAAATGGCCAACAAGGGGTGGCCCTCCAGCTTGGCGGCTGGGCGTGGGGCTAACAACTCCTCACTGTAAAAAATCATTGTTACGAAAATGAACAAAAAGCCTCAGATCTGGACAGATTCCTTGAATAAACGACCTAAGCTAATGAAAATGGATATGAGATTTGGCACTTGGACTGTACGAAGTTTGTATAGGGCAGTGGCAGAAGAAATCTTAAAATATAAGTTAGATTTAGCGGGAGTACAGGTCAGATGGGATGGAGGTGGCATTGCACCAGCAGGAGACTATACATTTTTCTATGGAAAGAGGAATGAAAATCATGAATTAGGAGGTTGGAGAAAACTGCATAATGAGGCGCTTCATAACTTGTACTCTTCTCCAAGTATAATTAGAATGATCAAGTCAAGGAGGATGTGGTGGGCAGGTAATGTAGCACGAATGGGGGAGACGAGGAATGCGTATAGGATATTGGTGGGAAAGCCTGGATGAAAGAGACCACAGGGAAGATGAAGGCATAGGTGGGTGGACAATATTAGAATGGATTTCAGAGAGATAGGATGGGATGGTATGGATTGGATAGATGTGGCTCAGGATAGGGACCAGTGGAGGGCTCTTGTGAACACGGTGATGAACCTTTGGGTTCCATAAAATAAAGTCAAAATGCTCTAATATGAAACCTAAATGTTGCTATATATTATACATGGGCTAACGGTAAATGAAAACTTATTCTAATAAAACTATGAACTTTACTATTTTGGTTATATGATTTCATTCTGAGTTGCAGTAATATTTTAAGAATACTTTCTTTGGAATTACATATGATTAATATGAGACCAACATCACCATAAACACAAGGCAGGTGAATTACACAAGCCAAAATAATGGCACCAGAAATACAATGGGAATGTTGGAGTTCAAATCCTACATTTTGAGCTAATTATTGTATCAGCAACATATTTTTTGGTGGCAATATCATTTTTGGTCATAATTAGGGACCGGATTTTTATGCCTTAATAATCCGTTAAATATGTATGCATTTATGCATGAAAAACTTCTGAAATATGCACATAAAAATTTATACGAAATATTAAAATCGATTTTACATTATTTTAAGACCAACAAATCAATAGTTTATGTAATCACTGAATGATTCACTTCAATAAAAAGCTATACTTAAATACAAATCATACAACAAAGCCAACATATTTCATTACAAATTTAAAAAACCAATGGTACTCACATTTAGCTCTCCGAACTTTCAACTTCTCTTCTGTTGCAGTTCACAGTTACTAAATGTTTTAGGTTTTCCAGAGTTAGTCGCCTCCTACTGTCTCGTCAGATGTCCTTATAGCAGGAAAAACTTCTTTCCACCTCATGGGAACTTAGGGGCGCATGTACAAAAGCCGCTATTTGCTCCACTGTTAGTGATTTTTTACTTGGCAGTTCAGTACGTTTACCAGCTAATATTTCAATTTCACAAATTTGTTCATATCCTGGATTTCTTGAAAGAATGCCGTGTATTTTTCCCTTTACTATTTCACCAACTCTTTCAGGAACCGAATTCAATTTGGAAACAGTGGTTTTGAAAACACTTAACGACTGATACAAAGTAGTATTGCTATTGCTTGCCTCCAGTGAGGAAATGGCGGATGGAAGATGACAGAAGTGAGCAGATATATAGGAAAGATTAGATTCTAGTTCTGTGTTTTTAGTAGATCTTGGGCAATTTGAATTGATGCTGCACTTTTGGGATCATATGTATTCACGACATTCCTGTTTCTATATGTTTGGTATAATAACTCGCTGCACACAGCCACGTGCCCCAGTGCGTTAAAATTGGTTCTGGCAGAAGTGGAACGCTCAGCGCTACCGCTTTAAAGGCTTCTTTTCTGTATGGTGCTTTAACAAATACCTTCTTCACAGAAGACACCAACTTGTCAACAAGCGGAAAATTTGCACAAATTGTTTCTGCAAGAGTGTGCAACCCATGGGCAAGGCAAGTCAAATGTGTCATATTTGGAAATATAACTTAAGAGCAGTACTGGCTTTCATCATATAACTTGCGGCATCAGTCACAAAGAGCAATACGCACTCATGCTGAATGCCATTCGGCCATAGTATATTCATGGAATTGATAAAAAATTTGGAAACTGCGGGGCTATTTGTGGTTTCAAATTGCTCCACTGCAAGAAGATATGGGGTAGACTGTTCATTCTTATTAAGGGATCCAACTATACAATTTGCAGTAAACCGTCCCTCACAATCTTGTGTTTCGTCGATTGATACCCACACAAAATTATCTTGAATCTTATCTCTAATGCTTTCAACTGTAAGATTGTAACACTGCTTTGTGTAATTTTTGTACACAGTAGATTCATCCGGCACTTTGCACTGGGTATACTTACATCTCTATGAAGTTTCTCAGAGTAGGATTGGTTAGTTTCCACATCGGAATATCTGCGCTTAAAAAGGCTTTGCATAAATCAAAGGAAAACTGTGAAAAACTATTATTAGAAAATTCACTAAGCAATTTTTGAACAGGAGCACTTTTTGTGGATTTAATTTTAATATTCTCTTTGTGTATATTAGTGTTCAAATGCCGAAGCACTTGAAACTGTTTTTCAAAACCAACTGTTTTCTAACACACTCGGCAATAAAGAATTTGGTATCCATACGCAACTCTGTGACAACACTCAACTAGGCATATATGTCACCGTGGAACTGAAAGTGTGTCTGTGGTAATGTGTGCTTAGGCAGACAGTTACTGCAGATGTGAAATACAGAACTCTTCAAGGCAGTGTATGCTATCACGGCTGCGTAACAGTTATAACCAAAACATCTCCTGTGTGGAGGTGGGGTAGAATACATCCACCGTAACCCTGTGAGTCGTAGGAGGTCACAAAAAGGGAAGTCTTGAATCTGAGACAGTAAATTATGGCCACGAGTCCCAAGGGACCTGCACATGAGAATGAATGCACTGGTGACGGCCAGTGGAAATTGTAAATGACAGACATGTCCTCTCATCAGAGAGTGTGGTTCAAATCAACAAACCTCCCACTGTCTGACAGTAATATAAATCTGGGTGTAAGCCCCAAACGGGTGCTTTATTCCAAGACAGACTGGTCGATTGGCCGTCATTCATAATATAAGACTCAGAAAACAAAAGATGTCAGAAGAAGTAGTCAAAAGTGAAGTCTTTATTTTATGTGGTGTAGTTACAGTAACCTTTAGGGTGTCATCATTGTTCACAGTTATGAAGTGTTATAATCAATTGCACTTCTGCTGGCGAAGAGCCAATAAATCAACTCACCAAGCCAAACCCACATCTAAAGTCACCAATACATGTAACAATATTCTAAAATAAGGAGATGCTTTTCAACTTCGCTTTAAAGCACTTTAGAAGGTCCAATAAAACCACATGGGACTGAAATTTAAAGGTATACATCAGCTGCTGGTCTATGCAGATGATGTAAATATATTTGGATATAACATAAATACATAACGAAAAATTACTTACTGCTAATAAGGAGATTGGTCTCGAAGTTACACAAATAAAACTAAGTATATGCTGATTGATGTCTTCACACCAAAAGGCAGGACAAAATCATATGGTAAAGAAAGATACTTTGAAAATGTGGCGAAGTTCATATATTTGGGAATGACAGTAACAGAACAAAATTTGATTCATGAGGAACTTAAGAGGAAATTAAAGTTGGGAAATGTTTGCTGCCATTCAGTTCAGAACCTTCTGTCCTCTCATCAGCTGTCTAAAAATGTAAAAATTGAAAAACAAAACACTATAATTTTGCCTGTACTTTTGTATGGGTGGAAACAGACCACTAGGAAGACGTGGACATAGTGGGACAATATTAAAATTGATCTTAGTGATATGGAATGGGATTCCATATCACTGGACTGGATTCATTTTGCTCAGAATATGGACCAGTGGCAGGCTCTCATGAACATGGCAATGAACATTTATGTTCTGTCAAATATTTGGAAATTCCTGAGCAGCTGAGTGACAAGTGACTTCTCAAGAACTTGGTGCAATGGAGTTATTGTTTATATATTAACTGCATTTGTTGATTCACCTTTTATAGTTAGTTATTTAGAGAGGGTGGGTTTCCCCATGCATCGCGACCAGTTTGATCTATTGTGCTTCCCTCTATGATATTCTACCAGTCTCTTTACCCTACTGATAAATGGTGCGTACCATCAGTCCCGCCGAGCAAGCGAGTTTGGCCACTTGCTTAGTGGTGTCTATAATGCTTCCCCCATCTATCGGAGGCCTTAGAGGCTATTGTTGGGCGGGAAACGTCCTGGAATTTGGCTCAGTGATCCCCTTTGGGGATATGAGGTTCTTTTACGTGCCGTAAAGTTACAACACGGGACACACAGCTTAAAGTCCCTCCCGAAGGACTTGTTCCCTGAATTTTTCCGCCCTTAAAAATTCAATGACCTCCGCCGGGTATTTGAACCCGCGTACCATGAGTCATGAGGTGGGAACGTTACCTCTAGACTACAGAGGCCGCTTAACCTTTTATAACTACATTACATAAGTAGCATTCCAGCCCCTGAACAATTGATGTTACATGTGGGATTAGCCTTTCAATGACTTCTTGAGGAATGATATTTTACAGATACTGAAACTAATCTTATCTGAATTTTCTCAGCTTATGTACAGTCATCATATTAACAGTTTTTTATATATAAATATACTTAAATAATGTTGGATGTATATCAGATAAAGAAATAATATTCTGTAACAGACATCTTTCCCTCATTACAAATGTACATGTATTTACATATCAGGCCTTTTCAGTGATTCAACATTTCTTCAGGAACTTACTAAGTCTTTTGCCAATTTGTTTTGGATACATATCATTTTTTATCCTATATTCTGTGCTTTGATGTGTAACTGCTCCGTGATTCAACTGGAAGTCACAAAGAGCTATCATTGGCTGTAATAATTTACTTTTTATGTAGATATTCCTCTCTATTACTGCTAAAGCCTCAGCTGCTGTCTCCAATGTCGACAGACAACCATCTGTGGGCTGCGAGCGGATCACATATTCACTTGTACTTCCTGTTACAAGTTTAATCTGGAATATAAGTGAAAACTTTCATTGCACAAAAAAGTATTTATACATTAAAATGAGCAAAATAAATTTCTGGTGGGTTCAGAGAGAAGATTAACAAAACATCACTATGTTGATCAACACACATGTGATACCAACTCTGTACTGCATGAGCATCATCATAACCCATATAAACTGCAGCTACACTTCAATGTTACTGTCAAGCACTGGGGCACACATTTTGTGACTGACTACTCTTTTTTTTTTGGTCATACTTTTGTGAGAAAGAAATAAGTTGATCAATATGACTGCCTAGCATCACTGACCACTTCACAAATGTCATTCTGTTTGCAGTTACTCTAAACTGTAAGTGTAGAGAAATAAGTAGTGGGTGTTTGTTTACCTCCAAACTGAGCAGGGCTATAAATATGAAATGAACTGCACTGTACTAGCAGATAACAGTTGTTTCTCAATATCACGGTTAGCTTTCCTCTCAATAGTATATATACACCAAGTCATGAAGGAAAATTGAGGGTTTCACATGATGCGAGTGGAAACCAGAGGAAGTTTCAAAGCCCACTTTGCTTACTTTCCAGAAGTTCTTTGATGTGGGAAAATCTTTCAGAATTTTGAATGAAACATTCCAGCACTTACTTCTTTACATAATCAGAAAGTCTGATTTTGTCATATCTGCATATCTTTTATGTATCACACTGCATGACAAAACAACGTGGGAACAGTGCAACATTGCTAAATTCTGAATATGAAGTACAATACCTGTCTTAGTTTGTGTAACAAGGGTGTACTGTGATAAATTGATTTTGCCTGGGGCCAAGTACCATCAATTAGAATCAAGTTGTAAGGCTCTGACATTTCAGACACTGGTGGCAAGTCTTCAATATTCACTGCATCTTTCGAGGGATAGACAAGGACTGAATTTTGAGACTCCAAAAATTCTTCTAGTCCTTCATGCCTGTAACAGAAGAAGGCAGACAAAGTCATGATACAGTGAGACAGTGGCATCATTACCATTAACATTTTTGATGTGAATGTGGTGGCATGCTTATGTCTGAAATGCTTCATGAAGCATGATCACACCAATATGTTTCGTTCACTATGTTCTGAAGAGCATGAAGACACTGAAAGTTTTTATGTTCCTCACACACTGATCAAAGAACCCTGTTCTTACCTACTTAATACCACTGTGTCAGCCCTGGGTGAGTCTTGGCCTCCTCTATAACCTGCCTCCACTGCTCTCTATGCCTCATCCATCTTTTTCAGGTCATTCTCAACATCGTCTAGCCATCCTGGGTCTTCCTTTTCTTCTTTTGGAATATAGCCTTCCTTTTAACATTCTCTTTGGCATTGCATTATCTTCCATTCTTTCGACATGTCCAAACAATCTTATTCTCTGTGACTTGATAAATGTTACTATATCTATTCCTTTCAGTAATGTGATTATCTCTTCATTGTATCTTATCCCCCATTCACTATTTTCCATCACTAGTCCGTACATTTTGCGTATTATTTTTCTCTCTAACATTCTCAGTGCATTCTCTTCCATTACTGTTAAGGTCCCATAGCAACAGGTCTTATTAATGTTTTGTATACTTGTAGCTTAGCTGCTCGTGATATTATTTTACTTTTAAGTGTACTAAGATGTGTGAAGTAGGCCCTGTTTCCAGCTTGTATCCTTTTGTTAACACAATTATCATTTATCCAGATCTTACCTGGCTTGTGGAAACTTCTTTCCTCGATAAATAAGGCACCTTCCTGGTGCAAGGCCAAGAGCTAACATTGGCACTGTGGCAAGGCATCTTCTTTGCTCTGCTGGATGCTGCAAAATGATCACACGACACTGCGTATTCAATGGAGTAGCAGGAAGGTATGTACACCAGCATACTGTCGCTGGGCGCCTGAAACAGCGAACTGTTAAATATCACTGACACGTAGTGAAAGCAACCCATGTTCTATGGTTGACACTTCTGAGAAGAACATGAAAATGCAAAGAATAACAATGCTTTGAAATCTACCATTTCATTATGCTTTATGCCCGAGGTCACTGTATTTTTCAATTGAATTAATCTTTTCTGCCACACACACACACACTGTGGCCCTGGAGTCAACTCAGCCTCACTGCCCTGTGTGAGCTGACTGTCTAGAAAATGTGGAAGCCTTGACGTCTCACAACCCTATGAGCCTCCACAGCCTGTTACAGGGATTGCTTTACCTTTTTCCCACTTCATTTCAAATGGTTTCTTTTTCTGTAAGACACTTCAAGGCAGGATACAATAGGAAACTGATCTTAAGATGTCATCTGAAATGTAAGTGTAATGACATATATGTGATATGGATGAGTTGTTAATACATACAGACCCTATAAGAGGATATCTGACAGTAGAATGATTGCATGCTAACATGTAACAACATATGGGGAAAATTATTTAATTAACAACAGCATTCTTCACCAAATATTAAGAGCTGCCGATGTAATTTCCTGAACCTCATGAAATTAGCCGATAGCTCACTAATGAATTTTTGAACACCACCAGAGATGTTAAGGTCACATGGAGTACTATCACAGAAAATTGTCAACACAAATTGTTTCTTTCAGTAACATTCAACTAGAAAACATGTTTCTGTCTTACAAGACCACCATCTTCTGGTGGATTTAAGTTCACAACAAATTTGTTGTGCTAGGAGGTATTTTGGTGAAAGGAATCTTCATTCACTGACCTTTGAATATCGAAGCCACTATATATGTACATGAACAGAATTTATTTACATTTCATACATCCTGCACAGGCCTGATGCAAGGATGAAATCATGCCATAATACTAACAGGATTTTTTTTTATTGCTAGTGGGGTGGGACTAGGTCCCTTGCACTGCGGCCACTTCTGGCCTATTGTACCAGCCCCAGATGATAGGTGAGGGTGATTGTGGAGCAATTGGTGGAATGAAGATTGGCAGGGGAAACCGAAGTACTCGGAGAAAACCTGCCCCAGTGCCACTTCGTCCATACTAATAGGATACTTGTGTCCAATACAAAACAAAGTTGTAACAACAGCCATCTACATATTTCTGGACAACTCTTATATAATACATAGAATTATACACCAAAACATAATTATATCAAACCACCAACACCATTATTACATGCACTTATTATAATTTTGAATTATTCACTAAGGTAAATATGCTAAGTGAGATATTCTTTCAACAGAGGCAAAAAGTTTGTTGTCACAATTCAAACATTTGATTGTGGTACATAGATGTTAATCAAACAACGTAATTCCGGTAAACTCCTTTAGAACAAGATATACACATTAGAATGACCCACCTTTAAATTAAATCTAAATAAACCAAACAAAGGTGATTCCTGATCTCCTTACAAACTGTTTACCGCATGCTTTTATTTAACCCCAAAATACATTGCACGATAAGCTCAAATTTTCACTTCATATACACATTATTTTTAAATGAAGTTAAACATTCTAGAAACACTTACCTGCACCTATGGCAGACCTGTCTCATTTCTGGAGGATCTGCTGGAAGACTCGAGAGATCACACCAGACGCTCCATTCGTCAGTCATACTGCAAAACTGACAGTTACCTAGAGTATATCATATCGTATAAAAATATACGATGTCACACAAATAACATATTATTACAAACGCCGGCTTATGAGCACCTTATCGACATAACCTCACACTTACACCACGTATAATTCTACCGCACACTCCCGAGTTCACAGCATTTCTGTGATTGCTTTGTTTTCTTACCGCTACTTAGTATCCCGTGGACGCCGTGGGACCCGTGATCTCTGTGTTCCGTTCTCACAGATAAACTGTTCGAGTCGCCGGGAACAATCGAATGGAAAATATTGAATTTGAATTTATTTAAAGTAAAAAAGTAAAGCTATCCCTGTACCAGACCGTGAAGGCCCATAGGGTTGTGAGACGTCGAGGGTCCCACGTTATCTAGACAATCGGCTCAAAGTTGACGGTATGGTTGTCAGCCTTACGAGCCGGCCACGCTTTACTCCCCAGGAAAATTATTTAATTAATTCCGGGTTCATTTCTGTTAGAGGCTGAATCGACCCCAAGGCCATAGTGCGGATGGAAGTATTAGGTCAATTGATAGAAATCCAATGACCTCATCGGGACTTGAATCCGCGACCTTCCGGCTTGTAGCATAGCCCCTCAACCAACTACGCTACCGCGTGCCCCCTTTGAATTTATTTACGTTCCGTAAATCCAAGTATAGAGTGACACCATAGGTTATGGTAGAAGTCAAGTACAAATACATAATATCTGTACAATAATAGTTTTGCTTGAAAAGTTAACACAGTATTACAGAATTACTGGTTTTTTGCGCTGTTTATATCGTCTGGAATTCTAGGTAATAGAAGACACTCTAGGCAATAGAGGACTCGACGCTTCGGAAACTGGTTCTGTTTCCGTCTTCAGGTGAGAAAGGAAGACACCTACTCAGTTGGGCTCCTTAGAAAGAGCTAATCTGAATCTTTCTAAGGGCTCTAACTGATTAGTAGTAGTAATAGTAGTAGTAATTTATCCAATTTCTAAAATGTCTCTAGTTATATATTTCTACTAGTTTACAACATGTTTCGGCCGCATATGGGCCATCATCAGGTAATTTTCTTTCTTTTTGGGAGACCACTGCACTGTACACTTGTTCACCGTGCTTCCATTTACGTCAATATTTAGTTCTGTCTTATGATCAGATACAAAAAACTACGATAGCCGCAATACAGTATACCGACGGCATTCTGATAATGAGATAGCAGAACGCCGGGCTGCTACGAGGAAGACGCTTGGACAGCAAAAGAAGAACATAGAGTTCCTGCAATGAAGACGAAGCTAGATAAACGACCCTTAAAGGCCTGAGCTTTGCACCGTCATCACAGGACTGTAATAGCCACTACGGAAGGCGTCTCTGCCGCTTTTATTCAGGAACGCTCCCCACTTTAAGTGCAGTGAACATTTATTGTTATAAATACGTGGTCATCTCAGCAAGTATCGACTTCACACACATCAATACAATTCTTACTTTTTACAGCTCTGACTATCAGTTTCAATGTGGGTTCCGTTTAAATAAACTCACTCAACAATACCTCGTGCATGGTAAATATTAAGAGTGTGCAGTGGAAGTTGTCGACACTTGTTGCATTGGGGGCAAAGTGGATATATGTGTCATATCATTGTTGATTTTCAAGACGGCGTACCTATTTGCATGTTCTTGTTCCACTGTAAATCGCGTATCTCTGGGGCGTAAGAATCTGTTTTCTGACCACAGATTATAATTTTCTGCGCCCTACTGAAAGTAGCCCTTGACAAATTAACGCAAACGACGATCCAATAATATTTATATCGAATTTAAAGCCGTGTTATGGAGATAAGAAATGTCCATCAGTTCACCATTTACCCAAGCAGTGTTGCATTCTAGCACAGATTTTCCAACTCAGTGCAGATCCGACAAGAGTTCATGCCGTTATGTGTATATTGATAATGAGTTATTTTAGGTTGTATTCGTCAGCTATAATGTATAAGAGATTATAATTATTAATTCTTGAAGGGGCACATGTGAATGAAACCAAACTTTACAGGGAGACGGAGGGACCGAGGTTATGGCTGCTTTTATTTACTAAGTAAGTAAGTAAAAGTAACCTTATAACAGGCCATGGAGGCCCATAGGGTTGTAGATATTGAGGTTCCCACATTCTCTAGACAATCGGCTCATAGATGGGGGTCAGGTTGTCAGCCCTACTCGCCGGCCGACCTTTATCCCCAAGAATATTCCTGGTACTCATTTCTGTTAGAGACTGAATCGACCCCAGGGCCATAGTGCGGCTGGAAGGGTTAGGTCAATTGAAAATATCCGATGACCCCATCGGGACTTGAACCCACGACCTTCCGGCTTGTAGCATAGTGCCTCAACCAACTACGCTACCGCGTGCCCCTTTGTATTTACTATAGTTGCCATTAAACTGCAGCCTCTCCCTTCATACTGACTGGTTTTGAACTTTAATTCAGAATCGTAATTTTTAACAAATTATTTTTCCCTCGTGACTCATGTCCTTTTCAAAACAAACTCAATATCATTCATATTATTAAAAATAAGTTTTGGTTTATTATAACTCCGAAGCATTAAAAGGCAATACTGTCTTATTTTACGGAACGCTATCAGATGTTTCAAAATGGACGACAGAACGAGAAGCACTGCAAGAGGATCCGCTACAGAACGCGCATGTTTGTTCTGGGAGGCGCATCAGTCGGCGCCTCAAGCCTTCTCGTTTTTAAACGACTGTACCAATACAAGCGGGGGCACGCGGTAGCGTAGTCGTTATGCTACAAGCCGGAAGGTTGCGGGTTCGAGTCCCGATGAGGTGGAATTTTTCAATTTACATAATCCTTCCAGCCGCACTATGACCCTGGGATCGAATCAGCCTCTAACAGAAATGAGTACCAGGAATCTACTTGGGGGTAAAGGGCGGCCGGCACGTAAGGCTGACAACCTTCTGTGAACCGGTTCTTTAGGAAATGTGGGAGCCTTGACCTCTCCCAACCTTATGAGCCTTCACGGCCTGTTACAGGGATAGCTTTACCTTTACCGATATAAACAGGTACTGTCGACTCGTGTAATTTTCAGTTCTTGTAGGCATTGCTTTTATGAACGCGAATCCATAGAAATGCGTACATGACTAAATTACTGACTAGACCTGACAGAAAAGGAATCAACATTTGAGGAGCGTTATTTACATCGAGTTCCCTTTTTCACGCTTTTTGGCATGATCCTGAAAACCAAGGGCTGGCCACTTTACTGCATACCGTTAGTTAGTTATTAGAGAGGGTGGGTTTCCCCATGCACTTAGACCTGTAGTGGTCCATTGTGCTTCCCTCTATGATTTCTACCAGCCTCTATATCCTACCGGTATTGGTGCTTACCATCAGTCCCGCCCAGCCAGCGAGACCGGCTCTCTACTGGCTGAGAAGTATCTATAATGCTTCCCCCATCTACCGGAGGTATTAGTGACTGCTGTTGGGCGGCAAACGTCCGCAATTTTGCTCAGTGACCTCCTTTGGAGGTATGAGGTTCTTTTACGTGCCGTAAAGCTACGACACGGGACCCATGGCTTAAAGTCCCTCCTGGAGGACTTGTTCCCTGAATTTTTTCGCCCTTAAAAAAAATCCCTCCGCCGGGTATTTGAACCCGCGTACTACGAGTCATGAGGTGGGAACGTTACCTCTAGACTTACTGCATACCATTCCTAATAATGCAGCAAAATCTTCATCCTCCCGCACTGAATCTTACATGTACAGGAAGCATATGAACGACAAGCACACAATTGCTCATTGTTGTAATTCAGAGGATGTTTCCCCGCAGTATACGGGTCCTTGTACGAGTACTCTTGGGCCTCTCATTGCCTGCGGTCCTTTAAGCGTCACTCTTCTCCCAAGCGGGACGGGCGACAGAACTTAAGTCTCATGTTCCTTCTTCCTTCTTCCTGTATTAATTCTCAGCCTGTTGGATCGTTCTGTTTGAACTGGGAGCGTGAGAACTCTTTGGCTGCAGCAGCTGATGCAAAAATACGTCCCGATTGGCGAACTTGCATCGGTTCTAATATTTTTAAGTTAATTTAGAAAGCATCTTCCCCGGGCTTTAGAATGTTTGCGTAAACTAAAATTCTCCTCAGGTTTTCTTTCCTCTCCCATTCTCCATATCCTCCTGCTTTCGGCTTCCTAAACAAAAACGTTCATTGCCAGGAAGAAAGGAATTTTCAACAGTACTGAGTTAGAATCCGCGTACAACTTATTTATCGGTCGCTGCTGATAGAAAATTTAAATTTGCTCGTACTTTTAATTCGTTTTTCGCTGAATTTTGTCTTATTACTAAAATTATTCGTTTCCGAGAGCTTGAAACGAACACACAAATATGAGCGAAGCAATCAACGGCTGTATTGTTCAAAGAATAACAAAATTCAGTACATTCTGCAACAGTTTTTAGTCTAAAACGAAACCCTATGAGCTGAAGTGGTCAGATCTCTTCATTCAGGCCACTCTCAGTTACATTCTGGAAGATCCATATTATCCCTGGAAAGCTTAAGTTCGTGTATACGCAGTTCCTATTCCAAAGGAAACATACATCGTCATTAGAAAGGCAGCCGCTTACTGCCGTTTACTGCAAGAATCTTACGGTACACATAAATACACTCTGTGGGTCAAATGCGGAGATTTTCAATACTAAGAGGAGTGTTATATACAGGTCATCCCGAAACATGATGACCTGACACCATGACTTCACTACATGCTCTTGGAATCATTCGGAGTCAAAAAGTTCGAATAAACGCGGGTGCGATCTGCAACTGTTTTTGAAGAAATGAGAATGAGCACTCTATTACATTTGTAATTTTTATATTATTTCCATTTAATGTTAGGTTACCTTATTATTATTATTATTGTTATTAATAGTAGTAGTAGTAGTAGCAGTAGTAGTAGTAGTAGTAAATTTAGACTACACTCTTAACTTGCATTTTCAGTTACTCACCGTATTTACATTACTCAAAATGGCCACGCTCATTGTCAGTTTTGGTAG